TAAAATATTATTCTGATTGTTCTAGCAGTGCTGTAAAATATTGTTTGCGATACGATTAGTTGTTTTTTAACGAGTGAGCATAATATGCAATATGTACGTATATTATGGCAATATCTCGGAAGATAAGGCAAGTATTGGAGCATCGATGCGTCAATCCTAATTTTCTCTAACAAGAGTAATCGCCTGGCATTTTTCAACGATGCTCGAGTCGATGGCATCGTCTCGCGATAACCTATCTCGCGCGCAGCGCATATAGCCGCGACGCGCGGATTAGGCTTTTAAGATCGAAGAGTGGCGCGCGCGGATTGGCTTATTTATATTTGTCGCAATCAAGCGACGAGCGAGTACGAGTGAGAAGACGGGAAATGAAAGGGGGAGGATAAGGTGATAAATTATCGCGTGTCAAAGCCTTGGCGTGCATTCATTTGTACGGAGTTAGCTCTGTCATTGGCACCATCCCTCATTTCGTCGCCCGCGCGTCTCTGCGACCCCCGTCACTATCCCAACTCGACGAAGCGCCTTCTTCATTTTCCTCTTTAGTTGCCTTGCGTTGACGTCTTTTTCTCCTTAACTGTATCGGCGACTGCTACGAAGCTAATTGTTCCAAACTGTACGCCCATTTGCACTTTGATAGGCTATTGAGTGTTATTAATGACAAGCTGCACTGGGCATTCAGTTGTTCGCTGCTATTACGTCTTATACAATGCTAGGTACTAGATGGATTTCTTCTACTTCTGGTTATTGTTACGATGGAAAGATGTGAAATATTGATAAATGTAATGAATGGTGAAAATCAATGGTTACCAACTTTTTTCCTCGCGTTGATTCCAATTTCATAAAACTGTTACTAGATGTATGCCGACTGAAAATACTTCTGTACGTGAAATACAGTCATGGTCGAATGTCAAAACAGGTTCGAGTACCAGGCGCAGAGCTGCTACTCCGCATCCTTACACTTTGATCTAGCAGTATAACGGACGCATAAGGCTCGCTCGCCTCCTTTACATATCGAATGTATAGGGAAAGTCGCGTAAATAGCCGCGTGGTACACATGTAGTCTCGAGATATACGATTGCGTAGATACGGAGAGATTTGTGGTCTCCGTGTACAGCTGGGCTCTCTCGCTCGCTCGCAAGCGGCCTTTCAGGTGGAGATTGCGTTTTGACGTCTGATAGATTCATGGTTATTGGAATCAGAGTGGTCCCTATTACATATCGGAACGCGCGCGCGACTCAGACCAACTTATCGCCCCAGGGCAACGTAAATCACGAGGGCGCAACATACACACGTATAATACACAGACATAGCGTCCAACGAATACTGAGACGTATTTTTGCTGCGTCAACAGACTGCCGCAACAGTCGGGCCTGTGCTCGCGACTTTTCCAAACTTTTGAGCACACTCGTGTTGCCTGCCTGCCTGCCTGCCTGTACCTTCGAGGATTAATGATTTACGTAATAGCCACCAATCAACTGGCGATTGTCACTGAAGATCTATAAGTTCACGCAAACGATCCTTTTGAGACTTCATTCTTTTCTTCGATTTTCTTGTATTTGTTTTTTTCTAGACAGTAAACATTGTTCAATATAACAACGCTAATTTTCTTTTCAATGGCAATGTTTTTGCAACCATTGGGCAATACGAGTTTCAATGTTAAATTAGCTTGCACTCACACGAAATTTGTCAAGACACACTCAAGTTTTCAAAAAAGACGATTAAAAGTTATAACAAGCAAATACCAGGGGCACGAATGGAGCTGTTAAAAAAAGCATGGTAATCCGCATCCTATTTCTTCGGCATTTCGAAGAAATCAGTAGCCTCCTCGGACTCCTGTGGGAAACCTTAGTCTTTTCTTTTTTTCTAAACAAAAGTAACAACTGTGGTTGTCCCGGAGGGTTGTATGTGTCCAGTGGGTTAACAGGGCCGGGGAGTCCCCGAACTATACGGAAAACCAATCGCGGCGACACCTTATATCGCGACCGAAGGGGACTGTGCGCGCTCTCCTCTTTTATTGGCCATAAAAGCAATAATGCAAGCCCGATCCCCACGACAAAATGATACAAATTCAGTGGATGTCCTTATTATTGTCTCGTCTTCTTCTTCTTTTGTTCTTTAATCGATAACGATTTTGATGAGGGACGGCAAGCCAGCGCGCTCTTTCTCTCGAGAACTTGGAAATAAAATTCAATTGCCATTGGATATGAAAGCTCGCTGCCACGCGGCCGGTTTCGTTGAGTGCTTTTGAGTGCTCGCTCGAATACCAAATAGTATTGGTTATAAGTTTTTAAGAGGTCAATTTTATTCTTTAATCGTTTCGAATCGTTACATTGCCAATAGAATAATGCCGAGATGTCTTGGATAGATTAATCATTTGAAAAAATTAATGCTCAGAGATATTGTGCAATCAACAGTACACAATTCGAGGTGAGGGAGCTATTGTGCAATTTTCATTAAAAAGTACCGTCCGATAAAAATAATCAAGCGGAAACTTCACGCCCGAGCTCTTAATGAAAAAAATGGCCAGAAAGGGGAGGGGTGCTGGAAGTCGGAGCAAAGGCTTCGCTAATAACACTGTTCTCAACCCGTTACTTAATATCTCACGGGGTGCTAAGGAAAAACAAAGAGAGCGCCACCTTGGAAGATTTTCCGCGGCGGCGATCACAAAGGCCTTTTTCGAGTTAATGAACATTGCTGGCGCGCGCATTTGTCTCTCGTGAAGGACATTCAAACGAGGGTAGAGAATGGCAATCGCTCCATACTCGATGAGCTCATAACGAAGGGGCGAATGAGTGTCGCTTGATGACGCCTTAAAGAAGAGCAAGAAAAAAATGAGAGGGAGCGCGAGATTCTTATCAGGCCTAATTTACTTATTCGCCAGTTCTTTTCTTTTCACGGCTGCGCCTGTTTACAAGGGCGAAATTACTTTCCGGAAAGAACAAAACAACCACCTTGGTATGCTCTTTTTTCCTTTCTAGCGCGTGAAACTGCTGTAGAGATGGCTTTCCCGTAATAACTACGGCGTCTGAATATTCAATGAGATTAGACGAACCGCTACCACCGTTGCGCGTCAATTAGACATTGCCGAGGAGAGAACTTTTTAATGGTAATATATGTGCGTTTAGCGAGATGAGCAGAACCAAGTAAGAACGTTGCGCTCGAATTATAAGAAAATTTACGGCCAACCAAGATTCTTAAGTGGCTTACAATCCTTTGCTTTGGCATTCCAGTCGGCCCTAATCTTTGCGGTGGGTCTAGACTTTGAGAATTTGGTCTTGAACGAAATATGCATTTAAATGGCCTTTTTAATTGTCCTCAATAATTCGCTTCGAGACTCATACAATGACTCCGCGTGCAAACCGTAAGACGTTCCTTTACACCGACATCCATTTATTTCCGTCATAAAATATTGTTCATCAGAAAAAACATACTATGTAAGTAAGTAACAGTTGATATCAAGCTGAGTAAACAGGATATCAGCTAGAGTGGCGTCTCGTGATGATTAGACAGAGAAGAAACCGAAAAACCAAGAACCTCTTTTTCAAGGTAAAAAAGTTTAGCAAGAAAGTTAGGTTCGAAAGTTGCCCCCCCCCCCCCCAAAAAAAAAAAACTGAGCGCAGTTGTTCGTCCAACACTTGTGCGTCCGGCGGCAAGACGTGAAAGATTAAGGAGAAGACGCGTTGATCCAAGATTACAAGCCGACGGAATCCTCTTTTCTTACGCTGCCCTCGTGCCTTGTGCTTTCTCTCTTACTAGCTGCTACTTCTTCTCCCTACGGCATCGTTCTCATACACGTGCTTTGCACATCGTCTTTCGTTATCGATGCTACCAAACTCTACGATACTCCGTTAGTCTCGCTTTAACGTCGTATTCTCGGCGCTCAAGTGAGAAAAATAAAATAGCTAAGTACAGAATAAGCTTTACTGTATTCCATGACTATTTAGTTTCTTGAATTTGTAGAATAAAGTATATTGCTGACTAGATAAGTAGTAAATTAGCGCAAATATGATAAGCGATTATTAAGATTTTTAAATTAAAAGTTATGACGTCTATATAAGACTATTCGACGAAAATGATTATGGCCTACCCAGCTAGATAGCTGAAAGATTATATAGCGATTTAACGAGGACGTTAAATGCAGAAGCTAATCGTTGCATAGCTCATGTTGAGTCGACAAGGCCGCAACACAGGGGGTCGTATCAAAGAAGCGAGGGCCTATGATCGTCGTCGCAGCTCCCTCGTGTGTTACGCGAGACCGTTACGCGTTTTACACACGCTCGCTCTGCCGCAATAGAGATAGCAGGGGAGGGATGACTAGCTTGCTTGCAAGTATCTGAATACATTCGAGAAAGCGGGAATGCGATTATACGCGCCCGCACCACCAACGGATTTTTGCCGCTCTCGCTCCCGCGAAACGCACGGATTTATTGGCGGAAATTTATGCTATTATGACTCCGCGAGCAGCGTCTTAAGACTACGAGCATGAAATATACTGCATCGTAAGGGCTACGAATATAAATCTGCGCGAGGGTTCTTATATACTAAACGAAAAAAATTATTTTCCTTCTCTTCTTCTATGCTTCTCAAAGCGCAATAAAATTTTTCCTCCTAGCTTACTTGATTTCTCGATTGTGATGTCATTATTAACCCTTTTTTTACATGTCTCGTGAGTATACGAGTGATGAACGACTGTAGAAGATAGGTCAGAAAGGTCCTTCGAATGTTAATCTTGACTATAACATTAGTAAATTGGCTGATTGTATTTGGGATAATACATTTACCATCATTAGTATGAAAGCTTAAAAATACCAATAGTTCTTTTTCCTTACCTCGATTGTTTACAGTCTAATTTTAAAAGAGAAATTAATTTTGAATTCCTGAAATAAGTCAGACTTTTTACCTCCTGGATTTTCGAGAATAAAATATTTTAATGAACGACTAATTTTCTACGTGAATTATAATTTGTATAATCTTTTTTCTATTACTAATTAATTTTTCTTGAATTAACCATTATAATACCAATGAAATTTTATTAAATCAGCCGCTTTCTCAGCCACTGCTATTGTTGGAATATTCAGATGGGCTGAAGGAATCATTGGCATTATCGAAGCATCAGCTACTCTTAAATTGTTTATTCCTTGAACCTGCAAATACGGAATCGTCTAATATTGTGACACATGATAGGTATATATAAAAATTATAAATTCAAAAAACTTACTTGTAATTTTGTATTAACGACTGCAGATGGATCATTTTCTGCGCCCATTTTGCAAGTTCCACTATGGTGCCAATAAGTTATGGTAAACGTTCTAAACGCACATTCCCAATATGAATCTGAATTTGGTACATGATCTTCACACCCAGGCACAGCGACATCATTCAATCTCGATCCATATTTCTGCAGTGCTTTACTTTTCGTTATTGCGATTGCTACTCTAATACTTTTTATTGCTACGCGCACATCATCGGGATCAGACAAATAATTTGCAACAATTTTTGGATTATCTTTAGGATTTCCACTACGCAGATATACTTTTCCTCGACTTTTCGGCTGCATCAGCAACGGATAAAGACTATATCCATGCTTAAAAATTATATTACCAAAGAATTTTTGAAAATAACTATCATTGTACCCAAAAACTTTATGCACTAGTAATTCAGATGCAGGATGGATATTGACAAACATAATTTCTGTATTCGGTTCTTCATTATCAGGGCTCAACTTGTCAACATTAAAGTATGCTATTCCTTCAATACCAATTGGTGTTGTAACTGGGCCAGTTCTTTTCAAAAAATAATCTGACCAAGCAGGGTTTGATGGTTTAAAAATATCCGTTACTAAAATACTTTCAGTTTCGTTCGTCAAAAACGTCAATCCTCCGTAAGCTATATGATCCATCAAATTTTCACCAACAGGCGCATCTTTTAAAACATTGATGCCGAAACTTTGCAAATGTTCTGCTGGACCAATTCCGGAGAGCATGAGGAGCTTTGGCGATGCTAATGCTCCAGCGCATACAATCACTTCTTTTTTTGCTATTACTTCGATTTTCTTATTTTGCTTTGTGAATTCTACACCATAAGCAGTTTTTGTTACAGGATCGATCAATAGTTTATTCACGTGACTATTCATACTAACGAACAAATTTTTTCTATATTTTATGGGGTGTAAGTATGCTCTATTGGCACTCATTCTTTCTCCATTAATTTGATTGGTTTGTAGATACGCGAAACCTGTTTGTTGACCACTGTTGTAGTCAATTGCAGTTGGAAATCCAAATTCTTGACCCGATTCGACAAAGGCATGTACAAGCGGAGATTGATACGGTGCATTTGTGACATGTATTGGCCCATTGTAGCCATGTGCTTCTCTTTTTGTATATGCTAGAGTAACGTTATAGTTCTCCAATTTTTTGAAATATTTCAGCATTCCATCCCAAGACCAACTATTGTCTCCAGTTAATTTTGCCCAGTCATCGAAATTCTTTTTATTACCTGGTGGTGCATATTATACCTATTAAAATGTTTCTTTACTAATTTCAGTAAATATTAATAAAATGGAAACTTTACCTCGAGTGACCATCATACCATTGATTGAACTTGTTCCTCCCATCACTTTGCCAAATAGAATTTTAGACTGATTATTATCCATTCCTAGACAATATTGATTTGATGGTTCCGTTACATAGCCCCATTGTTTCTTTGTATCAAGTGACAAATAAATGGCGGTCAAAGGAATATCCATAAATAAATTCTCTTTGCCACCTGCTTCGATTAAAAGTACTTTAGCTTCTTTGATTTCTGTCAGTCTGTTTGCAATGGTCGCTCCTGCACTACCCGCTCCAACGATAATAAAATCATATTCTTGTCTATTCGACGGAGTAACATCACTAACCTCATTTTTGTCGAATTTTAAATTATCAAATAAAAATTTTAGACTACCAATTTTCAGAGGTAGTAAATTTGTTGCTCCTTGTATAAAATCATTTAGAGTCCCTTGAACCGGTGAATTAAATATTAACACAAGAGTGATACAAAATATTATTAGCCGAAGAGACATTTTGCTAATAATCTACGATTCTCTTGCCATTGCAGTTATTATTCCAAGCGAAAGAAAAAACTGTTTTCTGAAAATAAAATAAATGTTATCTTATCAAAATTGTGTTTACCTTGGTACTATTATCTTATTCGAAAGTTGAATTTTTTTAGAGACAGAATAAGGCTATTAGTTTATCTTTAATGAAGATAAGAAACATAAATTATTACTTCAAAATCGTCTGTTCAAACCGTGAGTTGAAAAATAACCCAATAAAACGTTATGAATAAAATAGTTTTGAAAGAGCACAATTTAAATTTTAATGTGCATTAAATTAATATGCACATTCACGAGAAGTTTCATAGGAACGTAGCAATTTCTTATTTTAAATATTTATTTTCATTACATTTGTTAATGCATCATCATAAGCCTAACAACTAGCTCAATTTGCTATCGTTCTATTTTGTAGCTTCTTATTAAGTAATGTTGTTTCCTAAAGATTAGAAAATAGCTAATTGTATAATCTGTCTATAACACCATAGCGCGAGAGAAGCAATAACGATTTTTTTTTAATAAAAAGATATTTCAAGAATATGTGGAACAAAGAGTATCTCATAATGAAGAATTTACATTTACTTCAACTTCAAATCATGGCCGAGCGTCTTACGAAATCACACAACGCATTAACACAAACGAGAGAATGGAAAGATAATCGATTATGTGTAATACTCGATTAATGAAAATATATAGATCAAATAGTAAAATATGGAATACGAAAGAGTCATTACGAAATGTGAAAACGTGATCCAGAGCGTAATGATGATATTGATGGTGTTGTCTGCAGACCACGTCGCTTAAGTATGTACATATATAATAGTCATAAGCGTGTTCCTATACCCGGGACCTCGTTCTTTAATACTTTGCAGCTGATCGTTTGACTCTAATTGTTCACTATATTCAGCAAAAAGCAGCGTTGCATTTCAGTAATGTACGCTGCCCAGATGCACCTAGCTGTTACTTGAAATTTTACGCACTTAATCCAAATTCACGTATCGCAAAAGAAAACTTTCCGCAACTAGATCAACTGCGTGCGCCTCGGCTACATGCCAAGCGAAGTCTGCTAAAATTATGAATAGGATTATTAGTTTCCCTCTCTCGAACTCACATATCTGTCTTTGCTAAGCATTCGCAGTCTCTTTCTTCGACATTGCCTACTCACGTCATGTGGCTGTCTGAAACGAACATTTGTTTGGAATTACAACGGGCGTAAATTATCATTTTATTTATAATGATTGAAGCAATTGTTTATCTTTTAATAGGTACATAACATTATAATTACGTTATATTTATTGCTCTTCTTTAAATCTCAGTATCCGTCATAAAATAAGACTATGAAAATGAGAATAAATTAATTTAATAAAAATGAAATTATTTTAGCCAGTTGATTCACTGCAAGCATCAGTGTTACAGATCGCGAGTAAAATAAGTACACAGCCACACGCGATGAGACACTGCTCGACAAATACATAGGTGATTTTCTTGTTTTTTTAGTACTTTTGTTTTAAATACAGGTAGTGGAGTGTTGATAAATTTATGGTTATAACGATAGTTAAGAGAAAGAAGAGCGAATCATCATAAATCATGAACATCGAGACGTCACAGACATGAAAAACCTAAACTTTTTTCTTTGTCATTGTCTTTGCATCGTTCGCATATGTTAGAAAAAAGAAAAATTCGCACCTCATAGTAATAAGCCGAAGGACATCTATGTGTCTGCTAATAGTGCGTGGACGGCAAAGTAAGCGTACGGAGAAAGTGACGGAGCGAAGTCAAATTTGAGGAATTATTAAGGCGATCATATGTTTCATATCAGATATTGCGAAAAAAGATATCAATAATTATTATTACACATATGTAGAACACGGGACGGTGTATAGCGAAGGAGGAAAGTGTATCTTCGTGATAATCCGAATTCATTTTTTTACGAGTATGTTGAGTGGTCGACTGTGAAAGCGATACTTCAGATTGTGCAATAGTATCTCCTCCGCGGTTTTACTCTTTTTACAAGTATTGCTGCTATCACGCAGATTCAGGGCCGTACGTTATAGCTTGGAGAAGCAATAAGGACCGTGCGCCTTCCTCAAGATTGCCATGACCCGCTGCCGAGATCGTTTTCCTGTCATAAGGCTCGGTGATAACATACAAGTTACGCCTAGGCTGTCCAGCGAACCACGAGCGAAGCAAAAAGAGACAAAAGAATAGGAAAAGCACCAAAAGAGAAAATAGAAGTATGGCGTCCGGTTCGCCCTTTGGGACCATGCCGAGAACAGTGAAAGAGAAGAGGCAGTAAGAGTTGACGAGCCGGAAAGCGCGAAATAGCGAAGACGCGCTGGCCTTCGAGTCTGACGGGGTAATATTCAATTGTTTGTGTGTGTGAGAACATTATAAAACACTAGTGATACTGCTATTTTGCTGTGTCACTTGACGAAATTTTGAAATTACATTGGCCATTACCAAAACTTAACCTGTCACCATTACAAGAAAAACAATTATTAGCTTTTTCTCAACGCAATCTACCTTCATTATTATTCTTACTTATCCGGCTTCAACAATTACAAATTTTTTTTAATTATCAAATAATGAAGATATTTTATATAAAACTAGGTTATGATATAACTTTCATAAATACTATATAATTACAAATAAGAAATATAAGTAATGCATTAAAATCTTACTTCGACTAATTATCATCAAATTGGCAGAACTATTTTCTTTTATCACTTTACCGAATAGAACTTTAAATTGATTGTTATCGTTTCTAAGACCATGGTGCTTTGAAAGTTACGTTATATAGTCCTATTTTTTGCTCTTATCAAGTTATGACGAAATGCCAAATATTGTCCGTGAATTAATTTTCATTACTATAACCTACTTCTAGTACTTGTGTTTCCTTGATCTCTATCAGATTACTAGTAATGACAGCTACTACAACAATAGCTCTAAGAATGATAAAATCATTTCTTGTTTATTCTATTGTGTAACATGACTAAGCTCTTATTTTGTGAATTTACGAAAACCATTCATAAATTTTATATGACAGTTAAATAGTAGTATGAAATTTTTTATTGCTTATATGAAATCATTAATGAACTGTGAATTTATCAAAGAATAGAATATTACTAATATTGGAAATTAAAATCAATGGTGTGAGGAATATTCCAAAACAAATCACAACTACAAAACTTCCAAACTAATTCAACGTTTCGCCATTTTGTTCATGGCCTCTTCAGGAATACTTTATTAAAAAATTATATAAAATTAATAAATACATTCAAATTATTAAATATCAAACAAGAAATCATGAATAATTGCACTCATAATTTCAAAATGCTTTGTAGGAAGTTTTGTATGGAATTTGTATTATGGAATGCTATGTATGGAAGTTTTGTAGTTGTGATTTATTTTTGAGATATTCTTCACACCATTGATTTTAATTTCTAATATTACACAACAGAGGAAAATTAAAGAATAAGAATATTACTAAATTTAACGATATAAAATTTTACCAGCTATAGTCATTTTATTGGGGATTCTCTATAAATAATAAACTATTATATTGATTATGTACGATGTTTAGAAGCAAATACGAATAATTGTTTAAAAACGACCTTCAATTAGTGGATTGAACAAATATAAGATATTCTTAACAAAATAACTGAAAGAGCGATTTATTTAATGTACATAGAATATATTGACTATATATAAAATGTTAATATTTTTCGTGATTTTCTAAAAAGTGAATTTCGTGAAAATGTATTCATAATTATGACTGAACATTATTGATGATAATTTATATTTTTCCACCGAAACACATTTAACTACTGTTTTGTATGTTTATATAATTTGATTTTACACGAATTTTAAGACTTGTTTATTGAATATGTTTTCTTTATTTAAACAGAAAATGTAAAATAATATTAGAAAAAAAGATACTAGTTAACATGTAACTTTATACAGAGAATTTAATTTTATTTTACATAAAATATTTCTGTAGGAAAACAAATAAATAATTGAAAGATTGATATTTAAGATTTTACCCGTTTTACTAATTAATCAAATTAATGATTATGTCGTGTATTGTATTTTGTGCTATTAATCTTTATTTAAAATTTCTATAGAAATGTATAATGTCTGATCAAATTTCATCCTTTAAAAAGATAATATTTTATTTTTTGTGTTTAATAAAAGAGCATTGAATAATCAAAATTTAGAAATTCGTGTAGAACCAAACACAACTAATATGAATGCGTGCGCACGTGTTTGTATGTAGATTTTGAACTCGAAATTTTTCTGAAACTTTCATAAATGAACCTATCGGCTTTGAGATATTATAGCTACCTTAAATAGAGTAATTCCTGTGAAATGCTAATATTTTTAATTTTTTTTCAATAGCTTTTCTTTGTATAAAACGATTTAAAAGGAAAGTTTAAGTGTTCAGAACGTGTTTGAATTTCAATTTTATTAGTTGCATATATTTCACTTCATTGGAATGTATTCAATGGACATTAGAATATAAAAACTTTTTTTCGTTATGATTTTTCGTATTTGATAGTTCATATCAAGTTGAAAATTCTTACAGTCGTCTTTTAGTGAAAGCCGTTTAGGTGAAGGTTGTTGAAAACATTTGGAAAACAGAAAAAATTTTCAATCAATTTACCATTATCCTTTTATGGCATATTTGAACCGTTTATTTTGATAAAATTGGTAGTTTTTGTCGATTAGTTTATGTACCCCCAACGCAATTTTATCAAATCAGATGCCTTTTCAGCGACTGCTATTGTTGGAATATTCAAGTGAGCTGTTGGTATCATTGGCATTATTGAAGCATCTGCTACCGTTAAATTGTTTATTCCTTGAACCTGCAAATAGATATTGTGTAAATATGTAGATGTATAACTATATATGAACATGAAAATATGAAAAACTTACTTGTAATTTAGTATTAACAACTGCTGATGGATCATTTTCCGCACCCATTTTGCATGTTCCACTATGGTGCCAAAAAGTTATGGTAAACGTTCTAAACGCACATTCCCAATATGAATCTGAATTTTGTTCATGCATTTCACATCCAGGAACAATATTTTCAATCAATTTCGGTCCATATCTCTGCAGTACCTTACTTTTTCCTATTTTGATTGCGGCTCTGATACTTTTTACGGCTACACGTATATCATCAGGATCGGAGAAATAATTTGCAAAAACTTTTGGATTATCTCTAGGATTTGCACTACGTAGATATATTTTGCCCCGGCTTTTAGGCTGAATAAGAGCTGGTGCGACAAGATATCCGTGGCGTGAAATTGTATTACCAAAAAATTTGTAGTAATAACTATCATTTATCCCAAAAACTTTGTAGAATAATAAATCAGAACCCATATGTAAATTGAGAAACATTATTTCCATATTCGGCTCTTCATTATTAGGGCTTATGTCATCAACATTTAAGTATCCTACTCCTTCAATTGCAACCGATACTGATATTGGGCCGTTTCTATTTATTAGATAGTCTGATAGAGCAGGCTTTGATGGGTTTAGAATTTCTGACGTTAAAAAACTGTGTGTTTCATTGGTTAAGAAGGTTAATCCTCCGTAAGCTATATGATCCATCAAATTTTCACCAACAGGCGCATCTTTTAAAACATTGATGCCGAAACTTTGCAAATGTTCTGCTGGACCAATTCCGGAGAGCATGAGGAGCTTTGGCGATGCTAATGCTCCAGCGCATACAATCACTTCTTTTTTTGCTATTACTTCGATTTTCTTATTTTGTTTTGTGAATTCTACGCCATAAGTAGTTTTTGTTTCAGGATCGATTAATAGTTTATTCACGTGACTATTCATACTAACGAACAAATTTTTTCTATTTTTTATGGGGTGTAAATATGCTCGATTAGCACTCATTCTTTCTCCATTAATTTGATTGGTTTGTAGATACGCGAAACCTGTTTGTTGACCACTGTTGTAGTCAATTACAGTTGGTAATCCAAATTCTTTACCTGATTCGACAAAAGCATGTCCAAGCGGAGATTGATACGGTGCATTCATTATATGTAATGGTCCGTCATAGCCGTGTGCTTCTCTATTTGGTTGTGCTAAAGTAACGTGATATTTCTCCATTTTCTTGAAATATTTCAGCATTCCATTCCATGACCAACCGTTATCGCCAGTTAATTCCGCCCAAGTATCATAATTCTTTTTGTTACCTAGTAGTGCAAATATTATCTATATAATATTTGCGGGATGTGTTCTTGTATATTAGAAAGAAAAATTTAAAAACAAAAGTAAAAATATCGAGATCTTACCTCGGGTAGCCATCATAGCGTTAACTGAACTTGTTCCTCCCATCACTTTACCAAATCGAAGTGGACATTGATGATTTTCAATTCCAAGACAATATTGATCTGAAGGTTCAGTTAAATAACCCCATTGCTTGCTCTTGTCAAAGGTCGAATAAACAGCAGCCAAAGGAATGTCCATAAATAAATTTTCTTTGCCGCCTGCTTCGATTAAAAGTACTTTAGCTTCTTTGATTTCTGTCAGTCTGTTTGCAATGGTCGCTCCTGCACTACCAGCTCCAACGATAATAAAATCATATTCTTGTCTTATTGACGGTGTAATATCATTAACTTCATTTTTTATAAATTTTAAATTATCGCTTAGAAATTTTAAAGCACCAACTTTTATCGGTAGAATATTTTTGATTCCTTGTATAAAATTATTTATGATCCCCTGAGTATTTACCGATGAACTGAATAATAACAAAAGAGCGATGCAAGATATTACCAGACGTGGAGTCATCTTGCCAATGATAATTCACAATCCTCAGATAATTCAATTTATACTGTTAAATGAAGATAAAAAATTTGTTTTGAAAATATAATAAATCGTCACTTATCGAAACTGCGTTTGCTTTGGCCTTTTTCCTTTCTTTAAAGATTGAATTATTATTCTGAGCGTAGCAGACTAAAGTGATAAGTTTATCTTTAAAGATAATAAAAAACTGGGTTTATTGTGTTTAGTGCTTAAAGCCATTGAATATTCAATAAATACAATTCTAAATGCAAATTCAATGAACAATTCAATATGTTAAATACATATGTATTGAACACAGCATGTTTAGCTTCATTGTACACACCTGGATATATAATAATACTTTTTTGAGAAGTTTCGCAGAACGCATAGTACAAACTTATAAGAGAGAAAGGTTTCTCGAAACTATATTCAGTCACTATCGTCTAAAAAATAGTAGACATTTTTCTATTGCTTTTAAAGGAATCTATTCACACATAAAAAGTTTCGAATTTTTTAAAATTCAAAATATGTGTATAGTCTATGTCACTTAGTAGTGTCATTTATATATCACGTCAACTGATCGTACCTTTCTATAACTGCGTCTTCAATGTATTCGTGTAGTCTTTTGATTATATAATATAAAATTAAAACTCAAAAATTTATAAGCTCTCAATACCTCTATTCATTTGTATATCGGTACTTATATCTTCAGTTATTTTCTTCACATTATTTGCTTTCTATTTATTTATATTATTGTTTATTTCATTCTACGTTTCTGAAATTTTAGAATATCATAATTTTGGAAGAGTTGTTTTATAATACAATTTTAAGATAAAGGGTTCGATTTCAGCATTCCATTGGTAACTCTTGAATTGCTGTAGATTCATTTAATGGAGAGTTATTATTTAACGAGGGACTCTAAGCGTGTCAAACTTGAGCTAGCCTTGGAAATCAAATGAGAGAGTTTAATAACTATTCAAGCACTATTGTCTTGGCAAATATCGCAATTTTTCAGAATTTTTAATTCAACACAGCTTATTTTGTCGACGGCCCTTACGTTGTTTATCGATCTTTCACTTATCTCGAAAAATCAGCGAATCGTCAATCACCAGCAGAAACGCTTGAGATCACCTCACAATTGCAGTCATTCTCTTTCTCCGAACAACGTTTTTAAATTCCTTCGGTTTCTAGCTACATTTTACAGTTTTTAATGAAGTAGAGCTAAACGCTCATTACGTTGATTCAAACGGTCGGTAATGGCAGCCCATTCGGCGCGCCTTTATGATCGATTATCGCTCGCGCGGGACTTTTCTTCTTGGCAGTACGGCGCGTAAAGGGAATTTGCACTACGCGATGTGATCGTAAAGCCATCATCGTGGTGGTGCTTCCGCAAACCCTTTGCACTACTGATCGTACCTACTTTTTGTATTTAGCATTTTTGGATTTTAGCCAACTCGTGCTGCGCGATAACGTATGGGTGGAGACGAACTGACTTATACGACGCGTCTCGTAGTTTTATAAGGATATATTTTTTAACCAGGAATTTCCCTGATATTTAAATGATACTTCTACTGTACGATGCTTGATATCTGAAATTTGTGAAGACAGAAACCCTATATTAGACAAGCTGAAGTTTAAGTACTAATTTAAATGTTCATAGTTATAAATTTAAGTCTATAGCATTTAAAGGAAGGTCAATTATTTTCAAGTTAAATTTGAAGCTAATAAAAAAAGCTATTTCTTCATAGTATTCGAGAACTTTTCAATAAATAAAATCTTCAATGTCGATAATACAATAATTTCTATGTCGCGTCATTTGGGACAACTCGTAAAAGAAAAATCTCTCGTATCTGTCTCAACTGGGATTTTTTACAGACCGACAAGTGCACATATCGCTCCCCGTACGTCGCGTATTTTTCAAGTCGTCATCCCACACATTCCCAACCGCTCACGCGATGCTCCCGCGAATTTGCAAGTTAAATGACGTAAACGAGGAGACGAGCGTGTATTCTTTGCTTCTTTTTCTTCTCACCCTAGATTGTGCGTCTGATGATACCGTTTATATATCTTCAGATTCAAGGAGGCAAATACGCATGAACTGAAAAGAACTTGATGTTAACACTCGAATATTTTATTTAGGAGCATCTTATGAATTCTATCAGTTTACTGTCATATTGCGAATCCAGAATAGAAATACATTGTTCTGTTATGAAAGAAAAATCTTTTTTTTTCCATAATTACTTGAGAAGATGAGAAAAAGTTTGAATGCAGCTTTGTAAAATGGAAGCTGCTTACGGTCGCGTCTCGTACTAAATTATTGATAAATTTCGACACCCAGGCAGCAGGGCCTCTCTCTCTCTCTCTGTTCCGTCGCCCCTTTCAGCGTGAGCTTGAGCGCGCGTGTGCCTACTAATTTATATCCCTTTGAATATTCGAAAGGCGCTTTCCTCTCTCGCCTCCTTGGGAGGCACGCCGCGGTGCTCTCTCTCGCGCGCGTTGTCTTTGGAGTTGGGTGGGCGTCGCATGACCGGGACATTAAGACATTGTTCGCATGATTTACACTCCGTATTACATTCACGCGCTGGCCATATATTTAACATACATTGTGAGGCTAACCCTTCCCTCTCCCTCTCCGCGAGTGCGCGCGTCTCCCCTTCCTGACGCTTGCCGAGATCTTTAATATCGTAAACCAGTGCTGCTGCTGTTGCTGCTGCTTTACTTCCATTTCGATGCGACAGAGCACTTTTGTCCTGCTTAAGCGAGAGTCGAAGTTGTGTGATTAGTCATGCACCACAATGCCACGGTGATGCTTCAGTCGTAATGTCACGAGAATGATTCTTAGATTAATCGAGGTCTAAAGACGCAAGTATTTTTAGTTTTGATAAGATTTTGGCAATCGCGTTAATGAATAATAATTTATTTCTTTTCAGTTGAGAATGCACACCAAGATGTCAGTTACCAATCTATAATATCAGATTTTTGAAATTTATAAATTATCGTTTCTTTCTAACAGGTGGAAAACATATTGGTATTAATTGACTGAATATCTTATATTTAAGCTCCACTCCCCCAATTTATTAAAATTCATTTTTCCCTTAATGTAGATCTCCGATAACGTTAATTCTTGAGAGTAACTAATCACTTTGAGCTGAAACATTACAACTCCTTAAAAATAAAGAAGTCTAACCTTGAAGTGATCGAGTGATCATTGGTAGTAGTATTGTCCTCTAACTGATGAACTTATGGCCAGTCATCGATCATTCAATTAGCCACACGATCAATCATCTTGTGATCGCATGGAATATACACACGTGTGTGTATCGGATATACGAGTGCGAGAGAGCGAAAGACAGTCCTCTATGCGAACTTTGAACCCTCATTCTGAATCCCTAATCAACCCTTTTCAACGAGCGCTTGCTCATAATTTCGGGCCATCGCTCCTTCGATTTCGCGTCGAGCGACGGAAGATGAATTATAAGTTCGCTCCTCTCCTCCATCCTCTCTCTCTCTCTCTCTCTCTTTCTCCTTTTGGGAAGACCACAGTAATTTACGAAACCATGCGTCACGCGCGCGGCGCTTGCAGAGCAAGGGTTCAAGCTTGGGCTCGCATTTTTTTCCTAATTTGCAAATATTAGCTTTCACTGCCGTGCGTCTTTGTGCTCTTCCGCGTCAGCCGGAATCCCTTTGTAAAAATTGCGCTTTTTTACGTTTTTGATTTTCTTGCAACCTTTCTTTCGCGTCGCTCTTCGCTATCTCGCATATTTTAATATTCTCGTGTTTGGGGCTGAGATTTGTTAATTACGACGTGGCTTGAAATTGAATGTTGTGCTAACAGATGATTTAGTAAAGAGTTAAAACCAGTATGCTGGGGAAAAATTTGAAGAAAAGATTTGTCTGTCTAAATATTCTTAGTTCTACTGGAAAAATATTTCTTGTGATATTGTACGAAAAATCAATAATTTCTCTTATTCACGTGGGGATTCTGCTACTGAAATGGAGCAACAAACTGCTGAATTCCGTAGCAGAATGCGAGAAGGTGTTTGATGTATAGCTCGATATCAGGGAGCATAATGCGTGATATGATGCGTGAGTTGTTAATTCGAGAGCTGTCCGCTGCACATGACGCTTGTTTCCACACCCTCACGGATACATTCCATTTGTTTCTCGTTTTAAAGATTTTTAGGTATGAGATTTCATGCGATTACACGTAAATATAAAAAGATATTTCTTCGGTGTGCGGACAAATGAGCACGATTTTATTATACACACAAATTATTGTGCAGAATAACATAGAGTAACAATTGATACATGCTGATTCGTGCCATGTTATTGTGCACAATAGTTTATGTCAAAATTTTTTCTAATGATAGATAATCTTTGTCGTGGAAGATTTGTTTCCTATGTATTCAATGGATTTTGAAATATTTTAATTTTTGCAATAAAAATAAATACTTAAAAATGAAGAAAACTTATGTTAATTTGTGTTATTATTGATTGAAAAGTATTGCAATTAACGTATAAAAGTTTTTTTACGATTCCTTTAAAATAATCTTCACGGACTTCTATTAACTGATACTACGACGGTGTATAATTAGTTACAGTCCGTAATAAAAACGAAAGTTTACCGACTATGAAAAAAGGACAAAAAATTTTTTTATGAATATTGCGACACTCTCTTGCAAGGGACAATTGCGTTAGTATTGTTCCCTCCAGGCGACTCTTGAAGCAACGTCAGACAGTGTATGGAGTCTTATACCGTTTGCTACCTTACCTTATCTGAAGCTCCTGGAAATATTCAAATGAATTTCTAATCTGCGGCAGCTCAGGCACCAAAGTGTAGTTAGGCTATGTAAAATTGGCGGCAAGAACCGACCGAAGCAACTGAAAATAACCATCTAGTAGCTTTAGTAATGTCATTAAATATTTGTGCTATGTTATAAACAAGAAATTATTATCTTGAAGATTATTATATATTTTCTATCAAACATAGCACTTATTGATGGGAA